TATACCTGTAGATCCTTACTGCAAGCAGGCAATATTGTCTAATTGCGAGCAGGCATATCTTTTGGGTCACTGAGTGGATAAAACTGCTGATGATATGTGAATAAAAAAGTGCTCTTTCTATAGGTTCTGGCTGGGAAGAATTATTCTTAGGGTTGGTTTATAAGTCCTGAGACTTTTTGAAGTAGATGTTGAGCTTCACCAATTCAAAATTGTTTCTACTCAAATACCAGGTACTGCCTGCATGACTCAAATGTGCCAGCCTTGCCAACTTGGCATTACCATTACTAACCAAGGAAACAGGAATGCATTTAATTATTGGGAAATTCCCAATTCACCACAAGCTATAGCCCAATCATTTGGCAACATCTCAAGGGTGGTTCAAAATGTTCTTGCCTGATTTTCATTTATTTTTCATGGAAAATGAGAAGGTTATGTGAATGCATTTTTGGAATTGTTGAAATTCTGTGTTATTGGATATTTTTTCAGAAAGTCTCAAATCTTATGAACCAACCCTTGTACCTCACACTGTAGTTTGCAAGGGGTCTAACAAAATTCAGGTGACCAAACAAATCTTAGTATCGAGACAATCATTGTATAGAGAGCCCTATGACATTCAGGTAGAGAAGCTTTATGGGACTAGAAGAAAATTAATCATACTGAGAAAAATGTTGTACATGCAATCTTGTCATTTACAGAGAGTCTAATTATGCTTTCATATTAAAACCCTGATTGAATATACTGTACTATCAAATCTCCTTAAGTCAAACTTCTATAGACAAGCAACAAAATTCAAGTTAAAAAAAGTTCGTAGTGTTGGGGAAATAAACATTTCTTGTGGGAGAACAAAAGAAATAGAATACATTGTAATTGATTAACTTATGTACCTGAAATTGCTCCTTAAATGAGTTGACAGGATGCCTGAAATTGAAGGGAAGATTTTTTTGCTCAATTAGTCTGTCACTTCTTTTCCAAGCACATCATCACAATTTGTTTTTCACTTCTCTAGTTTGTGTGTCTATAAAATAATAGCCAAAAGGCCTGCAGAAAATTCAACATAAGAAAGGATGGTCAAAGTCATTCTTTGCAATTTTAAAACAGCACATCTTCAAAATACTGTGCCATGAAGAGCAAAGAATGTACAGTACAAATATTTGGCAATGTACCAAACCTAACATCATCCAATAATAGAAATAAACAATATTAAAATTTGAACAAAATGGTCAACCCAAACATTTTTTCAAATCAAAACACCATGTCATAACGTAGCTGTCCCAGATTCATTTCATTTTTTTTACCACAGAAGAAAAAACAACCATCACTGCTTCTTCTTGATCGTTTTACAATACAACCACTGCTTACAGCGCTTCTTCTTTTTTTTTCAAGGAAGACAGTATCTTCACACAAAAAAAAAACACAAACAATATACGCGCAGCAGAACATGGAAGCACCAGCATATATCTTTTACCCTTCGTCGAATTTCACAGGTTTCAGTCACTCAAACCCACATGGCAAACGCTTGACCTACAGATTATAAAACCCCTCTCACCCCCCAGAGCAGAGCTCACATTCCTTTTTCTCATTTGACGAAGTTTGAATTTGAAATACCGTATTGGCGTGAGGCTACAATTTTTCATAGGCTGTTCATTGGCATTTAGGCTCTCAGAAGCAATTTGTAGAGAGATAAAATGAAAGATTTTGCAAAAATGCGCAAAAAACAATTCCAGAAATTCTTACAAAAAATGCAAAGAATACCCAAAAGAAAAAGCAAGAAATTCCTTGACCGCCAAAAATTGACAGAATATGAAACTTCAGGTTTTGATGATTCAAAACATATGAATTTTTTTTTTTGAAAAATGCTGAGCATGAAGATTGTTTTTGCCTCATATAGATGCAGGTGGTGCCCTGCAATTGGACCCCAATCCATTGCTGGACTGGAGTCAAATTGTGAGACAATGTCTCATGCAATGTTTTCTACATTGTATTTTTATGTTTTGGATCTCTATGTGGTTCAAATTGCAGGGCAGAGATCAAATTTCAAGTTGACCTCCCAGAAAATTTGAACATCAAATTGCAAGACAGACAGATTTTGGCATGGTCAAATTGCAAGATACCACCTGCATCACATCATATTTAGTATATATAGCTTTTTCTGTCCAAAAATAATTGATCTGAAAATTTGAGCTGAATTGTAAGTATAACATGACTAGATAGATTTTCCTTCATATTTTTCTTGTCAACAAGAGAAAAAGAAACGTGATCATCGCTCACAAAAAAAAACGGCGGGGATCAGGGGTTTCAATAGCCGCCAACACACAATTAGAACATGGGTAAAAATTAAAAACACGGGCGGAGTCGATCAGAGAATGCTGGAGATTTAAAGACACTTTTTTGTTGTTGTTGTTCTTGTTGTCTTCCCTCCTTGAGTTATGCTTCCTTCTCTTTTGCTTCTTCATCTTCTTCTCGTTCTCGGGGAGAGGAAGAAGAAAAAAAAATGCTTCGTCCTCCACTTCACTCGGGGAATTCGGGTTTCGAGTCGAGCCAGGGACGGAATATGGGCAGGGTTGTTGGGTAACTGGAGCCCCGTTTCCGTCGCAGGGTGCCGTCATCATTGCGGAACGGGTACGTCGCCATCATGATGGGCAGCTGCAGTTTAATTTCCTTCTCCAGATTCTTGGGTTCTATTACGAACTGGGAAATAAAAATAAAGAAAGAAAACATTATTTTTCATTGATCAAACTTCCTTTCAAAGCACGTCAATTTTTTTTTTACTTTTCTTTTTCCTGGTTAAAAAAATAAAAATAATGGACAAAAATCTCAAGAAAATTCGACTTATGGAGGGATGTCCAAAATCATCTGTTGACTGAATATTTTCAAAATAGCGTGCCTCTCCAGGGAGATATAATTCAAGCTGAGTTCCAATATTTCAACTTTTGAAAGGATGTGAAAACAAAATTTTTTCAACAAAGAAGTAGATAGTATAGTGCAAATTTTAAAAATTTGGAACAGAACATTTTCTCAAGAAAAACGCAAATATGGAATAATTCAAGTTTCAGTACCTCCAAAACGCAGCATATTTTTCTACAAACATGAAAAAATGGTATAATTAAAGTTTCAGAAACTTGGAAACACATTTTTTCAACACACACAAAGAGATGTTCGAAATCAGGTTTTAAAAAATTTGAAACACAACAGTTTCTCGACAAACTCTCAGGCAGAGATATAGTGCAGGCAAATGCCGATTTCCTTTGAAACAAATCTTCCAAGCATTTCGTGGAAACCCCAAATAAAAAACACCATCCAAAAAAATAATTGACTATTCAAATATGGTCCTGCCAATTAAATTTTGTCTTCCTTAGTCCGCCAATAAGAGTCAGGTTCTTGTGAAGGTTCTCCATTTAAAAACTACAAACACACATAACGATAAAAAAATTACTTCTTTTCTTGGGCACATCAGCTATATAGACATAATTCATGCATAATTCATTCATTTTTTTTCTGGAAGAATAAGAATTTTATTTTCTATACTCACAAACACGTCGTATTGAATCCGCATCAAATGACAGCCTCTCAAATTCGTCGGCGGCAAAGGCGGGACATAAAGCGACTCGTTGTTCCAATCCGCAACTTCTCCCGGCTCAACTTTCCCTCTGCTTATGGACGACAATTCCCGGGTCTCTGTCTGAATCACTTTGTTATGCGCCATGTACTGTATTGTCTGCCAAAAAAGAAAAAAAAAACCAGTTTCAAAAATCACACTCGGGAAAAAAAAAATTAAAAATAAGGCCAAGAAAAAAAAAGAAAAAAGCGCAGACATCGACCTCGAGTAATGTCGACCTGAGAGACATGTCACGAGTCACAATAAAAACCTTCCTCGAGGAGAAAAAAATAAACACCAGAACTTTCTTTCACGACAGAATAATCATTTTTTCCCACCGCAATTATAGCGACGAAGCGATAATGACACCTATAACCGAGGTTGCAGCCGACGCAATTAAAAGGAGTCGCACACGGAAAAAAACAGGGCCCAGCAATTTTCCATTATGCGCTCTTGTAAATAGGGAATTTCTGCTTTCCGATCAGGTTCTTTCACCAAGAAAATGCTTGAAACTTCTACCAGTAAAAGTTTTCGGTTATTTTATTCAAGTGCATAAAAAATGTGGAAGCACAAATTCATATTTCGGACTTGAAAACGGATCATTTAACGAAGGAATCTCCAAAAGAAGAAGGCAATTCATCAGAATCCAATTCCACACTTCAAAACTTCGGTTCATTGTTGGGATCGTCTAATAAATCCAGAAAAAAATGAGTCTCAATTGTTTTGGCGGAATTGGAAAGATAATTATACTCCGTGTTTTTGTTCTTCCGCTGATTTTTTTTTTCAGATTTGAAAGAACTATTCGGAAGTTCCCTTTTTTTTTTCTTTGGTCGGCGTCGATGGTGCAAAAGAAAGAAAGCAACGGTAGAAATAATCCCATGACCTCACCTCTGTGAGCGACGCCTTGGTGCGCTTGATGGTAACCTTGGAGCTGTTGTGGATGTTCGCCCAAATGTTGATGGTCTCACCAGGAACGTATCCGCCTTTGTCTAGTCGCACTCGACAGGAAACTGGACCGGAAGTCATGCAGCTCAGCCCCAGTTTGTGTTCGATTTCACAATGGAACGGTTGCTGCAAACGGACAACATGGAAGGAAAATATAGTGGGACTCTCTCTCTCTCTCTTCCTCTCTTTACAACGAAATTCAAGGGACCAGAAAAAACATCATTCGTACACAGAACCCCTATGTAACATGTGGGAGAGCACCTTTATGGAGATTCTCCCCCTGTACAGTGGGACCCTGGCATAAGGATGATCCAACTTATGGACAATCAAATCTCAGGGAAAAGTGCTGTCCCAACAAGAACATCAGATGACTCTTGAAATATTGACCTTTTTCCTACATTTGTAGGATGGCAACCTTGAAATCTCTACAAAAAATGTTTAGCTACAGTAAAATGTAATCATAAAAATGTCTTGGTGACCACAAGTTTGTTATACTGTACTGGATAATTTGTTCAATGAAACAAATCTTCGATATCTGTAGAAACAAAGTGAGCTACAGTGAAATCTTGTCAGAACAAACTTTTCAGGACCACAGAAAAACATTTGTTACACTGAGCAATTTTTTAAAACAAGCTTTTTAAAATTGATGACTAGAGCGTTTTTTGACGTTGGAATACTTTCTTCCCCATTTGTAAGAGAATGGAAATGTTTTCTTCCTCAAAAATTTGATATTACTAGAACAAATTGAGAATCAGTAAAATCTTGTTACAAAAAACTTTTGAGAACCACAGAACAATTTGTTGTAACAATATTTTAAAATTGATGACTGGAACATTTTTTGACATTAGACTAAGTCTCAAGAAATGGATGCTTTCTTCCCCATTTGTGAGGGAATGGAAATACTTTCTTCTTCAAAACTTTGATATTACTTGAAAAAATTGAGAATCAGTAAAATATTATTACAACAAACTTTTGAGGACCACAAAAAAGTTTTTGATATTGAAAAACTTGTTATAACAAACTTTCTGCAATTGATGACCGGAAAAATGTATGAAATCAGACAACGTATTCTGAAACAGACATTTTTTTCCACTATATCTTGGGGAATGGAGAGGTTTCCTTTTCAACTTTGATATTTCTAGGAAAAATTGGAGTTGCAATAAAATCTGGTTACAAAATCTTTTTGGGACCACATAATTATACTGAGTAATTGGCTGGAACAATATTTTCAAAATTGGTGACTCAAATCAATTATATCATGCTTCTCTGACATTCTCAGATATTTCACTATTGCTTGAATAACTAAATTTTGCTTCAGTCATACATAACTATGAATGCTGAATTGAATTGTCAGCAGAGGATAGAATCACACAGTTAATCCCACCAAAATCTTGACCTTCCATGAAGAGTGAATTGTCGGGATTTTCTAATTCTGTGCTTCTTTATGAATTACAGTGAGACATGATTCTATAGAATGTTGCAATTTGACCTTAGTTTGGCAATGTATTAGGGTCAAATTGTGAGGTACCACTTGTACATAGCTTTTCAAGCTCTTCTTAAAGCCACAAGATCAGATTCTGTATGGTTCTTTTCCTCCACATTTATTTTCTACTGCTGGAAGTTGAGAAAAGAAATCAATCAATTTTTGGGACTTAATTCCTCATTCTTGATGAACATAGAACAAATTGAACATGTTCTCATTGAAGTCCTTGGGAAAACGTCATCCAACATAGGAACAAGGCCCAAGCACGGAATGTGTCCGCATCTTGAGGCCCGCTAGTTGTGACTATTTATTCAAATCGAGGAAAACAATTTGCGAGAAGAATGAGGCCATCGTCGATCAGTGGAGTTCTAAAGATACAAGTGAGAATTTCTAGAACTGCTCACCAGTTTTTGAAAGGTTAAAATTTTGAATTCCAGACAATTTTTTCTTTAAAAAAATCTAAATTCATAGCTAATATCAGGAGCTTGAGTCTGTAATCTTTTTTGGATGAATGGAGATGGACGACGTTTTCTTTCAGTCAAATTCCTACTTATTTTCTGATAAACACAAAACGCATTACAGCAGCAATTGAACGAAAATCCGTTACTCAACATGAATGAATATTATTTGGGAATGCGATTCCGCCAATTCGTGTATTCTTCCTGGCCGAAAGGAACGAAAATTGGATATTTGATAGTATTTTGTGCCACGTACAGTATTGTACTTATATCGCATATCGTCAGAGAACGAGGTTAAATATGCGACGCAGTTTTCCCAATTCGCAGCTAATCAGAATGCAACCAGAAAAGTGAAATGATGTATCACATGTCTCTATTATAATGACTTTATAACTGGAACCAAAGAAAAACCGGTTCTGAATTCGGCGGAACGAAAATTCTAATGGTCTCCGCAAACTTTGTGCTTATAGAATTGAACCTCTGAATCAGATGAGAGGAGGATGCTAACATTTTAATTGTAGCCAAACTCACAATTGTTCCAATGTTTGTTTTTACAACTGTGCGGAATTTTCCGACGGTAAAGGCCGCCGCCTGCCGAAAAAGAAGACGTTGACTTTGAAACTTAATCTGTAGTGCATCTCCAGATGCGCCGAAAAAGACAACAGCGCAAAAGAAAAAAAAACGTTCCGAGGAACTGGGGCAATACGAGCCGATTGTAAAATGGGCAAACTCCTGAAAAAGAGAAAAATATCCCCCTCGTCACTAAAATGTGAACTGGGGTCATTTATCCCCAGACAAAAAACACAACCAGTTGCTGGTGAATGGTGCAGAAAACATATCCATTTCTCAAAAACCTATTTGTCCTCAAACTTCAGACAAATTCGAGCTGTGCAACAAACAAATCTTTTAACTTGCCAAGAAAAACGATCCCCTTGGGATATTGGTTTACTGCTGAAAATTTGCTCAAGACACCCAGTTGCTGGGGGGAAAAACATGCACTAAAACTACGAAAACAGCAAAATTAAGTCTCCCAAAAATCCGTTGACAGCTGCCAACCTCTGGTATTTTCACAAACTTCCAAAATCCCAATACCTGGGTATTTTTCTCTTGGAAAAATCCCGCCAAATGGAGTGGAAGAATTGCATAAAAATCCCAAAATTTCGCGCAATCTCAGTCAGTAAAATTTTGAAAGCCAACAAGGTCTTACGTGTGGAAATTTATCTTGGACTTTGTCAAACTTTTTGAAATCATTTGTCTTGTGTGTTGTGTGCTAAAAACCCTGAATCCAGTTCTGGAAACACTCTTGTATATTTTCTGCGAGAATTGAAAGTGTTGCATTTTATTGTTCTGCCTGTAAAACCCTGTGATTGAAAAGAAAGGTCAGCGCTAGTGGGGAAAAAATCCCTGGTTGGTTTGCGCACTAGCCAATTACTGTGTTTTGATTCTTTACCTAAATAAGTACTCTGCCAAAATTTGTACTTCAGCAAATTGAACAAATCACATTCTTCATTCAAGGTGTGGGGCTTGAACATTTCAAAACTCTAAAATAAAACCCCACAACAACGTTCAAGAAGTTGCAGAACTCTGACAGCAGTTAAAATAACTCCACACTCGTTTCATCTATTCGACTCTAGCACATTTGACAAAAGGGATTTATTGACTAACGAAATAAAAATATATATAAAATTTAGCGTAAGGAATTGTATTTTTGAATGAGATCTCCAATTGATTTCATTTCTGATCACTTGCATCTCCCTTAAAACATTTAAGTTCGCTGTCGATGACAACATTTTTACTGACTAATTTTGCTTGACGAAATTTCCAAGGACATTTTTTCTGAAAATCCAGTAATTTAGTAAACTTTTTAATTAATTCTACTCAGTTTATCACAGAAATCATGAAAAAAAATACCAGGATGGAACCTAACATCACTCAACGTATCATATTATCAAAACAAATTCAAAATAGAGAAACAAATTTCAGGCGACATCTAAGCTATTCAGAAGAAATCCGTGGAAGCTAGGCGCCAAGAAACATAGCAAATAAATGTTGAAAATCAAAACTGAGTAGAAAAAATAAACTAGAAAAAAAATTGGACGAAATTCACAGCAAACCGTTCTCCTCCTCTTCTTACAAAAATGAAGTACTCCAAATGAAAATTTTCAATAATTCCCAGGAATGCGTCATCAGATAAAATTCGTGACGAAAGTGGAACAAAAACCTCCATTTAAAATTCTAAAGAACTCAGACAAACCGTTAATCGAATTCAAAACTGAAACCTGATCCAGACCGAAAAAAACGAGAAGTTTTTTTCGGTCTGGCTCAACACGTTTTTCATCCATTGGATTCTGCCAAGAGACTCATTTCAATTTTTCCAGTTCAAAAATTTCACCACAGTCCTATTTTTTATTTTAGAGAAATTCCCTCATGGGGTTCCTGACATCCTGCCGACCTGCGTATCGATCGAGATCTTCACGAAAATCTTACTTCAACAAAAACAGAAATCGAACCCAATTTCTTCCGCTTAACACAAACCTCCCCGGAAATAAGGGCACCATTAGGGTCATCAATCGAACTCAGCCAAAAGGGGTTCAGGCCGTAAAACCATCCGACGACTCATTTCGAATTCAATTTTGAAGTTTAATCTCAGTGCTTTCTTCTTTTTTTTTAAAGAGGTATTTCCTCGCGAGATCCTCATATTTGCGTTACAAGACCCCGCCGAAAATCTTTCTGTCAGCACAAGAAATCAAACCCCCATTCGTTCCCAACAAAACATAACAAAAACCTTCCCCGAAAATAAGGGCACCATTGGGGTCATCACGTCCTCCCACATCATGAGGAAAAAAAGAAAAAACTGAAACTAAAAAGAAGATTAGGAACGAGTCACGACTCATGGATTCTCGTCTTCGTCCATTATTCGTTAGAATTTAATACAGTACTGCAATGTGAAATGAAAAAAATCAAAGAAAAAGGATGATGACTCACAGCGAGCAAAGCTGGTTCAAGGTTCAAGTCGATCGGACTCATGACAATGAACACCTGCTGGTTCTTGTGCGTCAGTCCGTTGGGTTCCCGCAATGCCGCCTTGCAAAAGTACTGCACCCAGCCGTGCTTACCCAGGAATGTCGACGGGAGACCCAAGGGTAATCCCAGCTTGAACGGGAAACTGTGGATCCCAGGTGACAATAGCACCGGTCCCTGGTCTATTGAAAAAAAAACAACAACAAACAACGGACATGAAGTTCATTGACTCACAGTACCAAAAAAAAAAAAAAAACAAACACACACAACACAACACATGTGCACAGAGATAAACATTGCTAATACTAACCTAGAAACGTTTACACTTGCTGCAAGGATCCCCCCCCCCCCCAGGGCTAAATTTCCCTTTTATATTCTCTTCAAGAAAACAATGTTGTTCTGCCCTTGCAGCCATTTCCCTGTTTTTATTTTCATGTACGAAGTCACCTTCATTATTGCTTGACACTCTACCCACAGTGCCAAAACACACACACACACACACACACCCAACACAACGCATGTCACGGAGATAAACATTGCTTTTGCTAACTAAGAAACATTTACACTTGCTGCAAGGATTTATGGCTAAATTGCTTATTTTATTATCTTCAAGGAAAAGATGTCATTCTACCCCTGCAGCTGTTTCTTGTTTTTATTTTCTTGTTTGAACATCACCTGTATAAATGGGTAATGCTTTTCTGAGTCAAGCATCTACTTTTCTTTTACTGCTGACAGTGACAAATAATGCATGCAACTGCTTATCTTTACAAATGCATGATCCAAGGGAAAATACCTCTCATATTATTGTGTGTATAGAAATACTTTGAAAGCATTTCTGCACATTTAGACCGTCACATACAGATACCTCAACCTGCCGACATATTGACACAGGGAAACTTATTTAAAAAAAATAATAATAAAAGACCCAACATGAGGACACTGACTTGACATAGGGACATTTTGTGATAAAATTGCAAATACGTTTCAGGCCAAATTACAAAAACAGATGTTTCCAACCCTGAAATTGATTTAAGAAAAGTTCTTGGGCATTTCTCCCACCAATTTACCACCCTTTTAGCAAATTAAAAAAATTAACTCCACCTCTAGGGACTTCCTTCTCTCTTTTCCACTTGAATGTTATTTTTGCAGAGAATGCCACAATTTCCATGTGTTAATACACAAATATCAGTATTCAATTCACCAAATGTCCATATTGTGTTGAAATATATTTATTGGAATCAGTTCACATTGGGAGACATTTTTTGTTTTTATGGAATCATGGTGAGTATTTTTTACATGAAACACAAATTGAAAATTTATAATGTATAAGTCTGACGGAAAATGAGACTCAACTTAGGGACACTCTTGATGCACCAATTATGTTTCCATCTTGGGGTCTCACTGTCATTGATCAATGTATTCATGAGGCTTTGTACCCATGAAATCACAGGTAAGAATGAATCTTGGTTGCCCTTGATTCCTATTGCGCCTACATATACAGACCTTGTTTCAACTGATTGATCCTCAGAATTAATCCAAGCCTTTATGCAGTTATTTCTCAGGAAGCCATGTCACTAATTTAGCAAGACCTCCTTTATTTCAAACTTTACATATGTATATTTTATCATTGTTCAAAAAGTACTGAAAATATATTGTTCAATATTTTGTACAACTGTGTATTTTACTGGAAAACACTATGAAATAGTGAAGTTGAATCACTCAAAAAGCAAAGTGGGGCAACACACTTGTACAACCAAAAATTCCCAATGAGAAATTTCTACATGATGAAAAATAAAATGATTCAAAAAATGCTTCTTCTCCACACGGCTGCATTTTTGAAAAAAAAAAAAGAAGTTCTTGAATTTCAGCAGTTCCAAACTTTAAGACATTTGATTACTAAACCAAGGTACTTCAATCGGGCGTCTCCAATTTCCACTGGGAAATTTGCGCATTGCTTACGTGAACTCAATTGAAAGTGGACGAAATATGAACAAAAACGAAGCGTTCATCAACCCGAATTGCAAAAAAAAAAAAAGAACGCTACACTGCTAGAACATCATTGAAGTGGCATCCACTCAGGAAACCCAGTGGGCCCACATACAGCGGATTTTATCTGCACAATGGAATTTTTCGATAGAAACCTGCTTGAATTCGAGCAATTTGTGTATTTGAACTCGGATGACTCGAGACTAATTTAAAATTGATCAGCGTGTAAAAGAAGTAATCATGACAACTTCTTGCTCATACAGTTATAAATTCCTCATGCTTCAAAGACAAGAGTACGCTGCGAAAATAGACCATTCTTTCTTCATTCCCTAATTTGTTTATTTGATTTCTATCAAAATTTGATAGAAATCTAGCATGTTTATCACCCCAGCCGTTCGTTATGTGAGACAAGAGTATGCTGCAAAAATAAACCATTCTTTCTTCATTCCCTTTTTTTCACTATTCCAAAGTTCACATGAAAATTTGATTGAAATCTAGCATGTTTTTCACCCCAGAAGTTCGTTATGTGATTCACTTTTCAACCCCAGCAAAAGTTTGAAATACAATTTTTTAAATCTGTGGGTCTTCTGTGGTTGGGGGGGGGGGGGGGGGGGGGGGAAAT